CTCCTTTTCTTGTTTTCTGAAGTTCACCAGCAAGGAGTGTTATCCTAGATATGTTCTGAACTCTGTAGCTTTCTTTCACTGCTGTCCACAGCTCATTTGAGTTTTTGGTTCCCATGACTCTCATGGCAATATCAGGAGTCATGGAGGAGTAGAGCCACCCCATTAGCAGCTGGTCAGTTGACATCCATTCATTGTAGTCTGGATTCCTTGTCATTTCAATGTTGGGAATGGTTTCATCAGCTGTCTGTGTGCCAATGAATTCTGGTGGACACAACTTTGTCCCCAGAATAAATTCCTCAAGGCCATGTCCTCTGATTATCGGGAGGATCATATTTTGCCATAAGAGAAAGTAGTTTTTGTCAAGCTTAACCGAGACATTTTGGGTTAAGTTTACACCAAAAGGTGAGAGGTAATTTCTTCCCTGAACTGCACTGGTATTGCTGTTTGAGAAGGAGGCTTGAGCAGAATTTGCATTAGTGTTTTGTTGGGGATTACTGGTGTTTTCCATTGAAGGTTCCTGCTCTGATACCAAGTGAGAAATGTTGATCGATGGATGATAAATTTAGCTCAATACATAAGTGCATTGATTCAGCCTTGAGCTGGTATTTAATTACAAGAGAAGATTCTAGATTATACAGGTGTGATTGAATCCTAAAATCAAGAAGTTTGTTAGAATAAAAATACAACAGATTGATGGTGGAAGCATGATGGCAAAACAGACGAGTGAGCTGCTGATATGGTATCTGATATGCAGCAATGCTGAGATGGAAGTATTGCTGAGCTGGAAGACTTATAATTAAGCTAATTCTTTTACAATGTGGAAGAAAAGAAAGAAGAAAGCAGCTCAACAAAAGTATGTCTCACTTTTCGACATTTACAATCGATTTCATCTTCATCTGCAGGCGAAAATCTCCAGCAATAATGTTGGGAGCTCTGTCTCGACTCCCTTCCCTTTCCATGCAGCTACACATTGACGAACCTCAACCCAACAGAACATCAACAAATATAAAATCATTG